TTATTTGTTCAGGTTTGTTTGTCCATGGAATTTCCCATGTTCTGGAGTTTTCTGCTTCCATCTCTGTGGTTGTATTGAATGTGTCTCCTATATTTCCTTCCCTGTAAGTTAGATCTAGAGTAGTGATTTTCAACCTTTTTCATCTCATGATGCACGTAAACTAATTACTAAAATTCTGCAGAACACCAAAACATATATTTTTTGCTGGTGTGACCAAAAAAAAGGCGTGATTTTGATTGATTTACAAAATGATAATAATAATAATAGTAATTACCTATCCTTTTTTTCCCCAAAGTGACTTTTTAAATAATCAGGTGCCTATGCTTGTATATAAGACAGCTATTTTCAACTGGTGTGATGCAGCACACACTTGTGCTGCAAGAATTTGTAAAACATGCAATACATGACTACTCAGAGTCAAATAAAAAAAATGACAGAAGCCAACACAATAGCCGTCCAGTATGAATGAATCAAAATTATACCTATTTTTTTTGTCAGATCGGCAAAAAATATATTTTTTGATGTGCCGCAGAATTTTAGTAATTGTTTATGTGTGCCATGAAATGAAAAACGTTGAAAATCGCTGATCTATCCCATCAGCTTTCACCTAGAAATCTTAGTAATCATTGTGCATTGCTGCCTTTTTGAAGTCCCCATTTCTAGAGAGTGAAAACTACTTATATTCTATTTATGCAGGACTTGAGACACTGCTTAATTGGTTCCTGGGTAAACAGTCTTAAGTCAGATAGATCTTTAGTTCCTGTATGTGTTATTTCTAATTGGGTTTTTCATTTAGGAAATCTGTTTCAATCTATATTGTACTTAATCTTGAAAATAAATGAAAAGAATATTGGACAGGCTTTTAAGAACATTAGGAACATAAACTAGATATCCAGTAAACATATTATTTAGTAATGATTATATACTTAATACTAATGCAACCTTTTAAGGAACTTTTCTTCTTAATTGGCTGAATTAATTGATTGAGGCTTCTTAGAGCTTCTTCAAAGTTCTTAAGAGTAATATAAAGTGCAAGTCAAGTACCTCCTTTCCCTGGTAGAATTTGCTTTAGCAAGCTTGGGAGGTAGTTGTATATTATTTTAATAAAGACCATAGAATTGCATCGTAGCGTTGTTATCATCTAGTTCATATTTTCCTTGTTGATGCTCTAAAACTGTGAATAGTAAATGCTAGAGAAGAGTTTTTTTCTAAAATCCTCACCCAAGGATATCTTTCCATTTATCTTCAGATAGAGTGGGAGGGAGAGAGAGAAACATCGATGTGAGAGAGACACATTGACTGGTTGTCTCCTGCATGACCCCGACCAGGGCTGGAGTACGTACCCTTGACCGAACTAAGGTACGTGCCCTTGACTGGAATCGAACCCAAGACTCTTGTTCTGCAGGCCAACGCTCTAACTGCTGAGCCAAACAGGCCAGGGTGAGAAGAGTTTTTCTTCAATGATTCCTTGCTTTTCCACTTTGAAAGCCCTTTGTTGCTGAACTGTTTTGAATGAAATTCTAACAGGTAAAGTTTATTTTGAAATTCTGCATTGCTCTTAGGCTTTACTAATGCATCCACTTTCTGAGAAATTCTGTTTTGTTGATGGTGATCTCAAATAGCAAATTCTTCTCAACTTCCAGGTAACATTACTGGAAAATTCTACTGTGCATTTGTAATGGCACTTAATACTTTCCACTGAATTTCAGTGCCAGTCAGTTATCTTCCTAAATCTTTCAAACCATCATTTGAGCTAAAAACTTAATTTCTTTTCTAGCTCACCTATCCAGTTTTTAAGCATTTTGAAGACTGTAGATTGTACCTCTATAAGGAAATGGCCTCTTTGGTTCAGTTTTATGAATTTGCTGATACATACATTCTATCAAGTTGTCCCACATCATTAATCAGCTTGTCACATCTAACAAGAATTGCTGGTAATTGTACTGACCTAGAGATCTATGCTTCCTTCGGTTATATTATATTTCCTTGTCCTTCACAACTGTGCTTTGTTGAACATGACAGTTTGAACCTGGAAGATAACTTGTATTCTTTTATTCCTCACTTCTGTAGACTTTAAAATACTGTGTTTTATTTCTAGAGTGACAGTTTAAAAAAATTTTTTGACATTATGGTGATTTACTTTTTTGGGGGGGATCATAGTGAAAGCAAAAAAGTTCCAAAATTTAAGAAAATTTACAAAAAATAGCAGAGTGCATACATTTGTGCTAAACACAACTCCAAATTTTTAACTGAATGACTAACATCAGCTGATTGCCAACAGTCCTTGGTTTTGAATTGGCCGTAGTGTTTATAATTGGAAATTTGAATTTTGATCCTTATTGTGGGAATCTTAATTTTAATAAAGTTTACAAAAAGCAATTTCAGTTTGAGACCTTGACAGTTTATGCTTATAGAAAGGCAGCAATGGGGCCTTAACCAATTTTGCTGTTTGTAGTCTGAGTTTATAGCCAGTTCCAGAGCATTTTACTCCAGTTCAGGAGAGAACTAGATTGCTCCTTTGGGAAAAAGTTTAATTTATACTGTTACACTGAAAGTTTGATTCCTGACCAAATGTTCTGTAATAAGTAAATCAAATATGTTATACAAGCAAATGTATAGCAACTTTTAAACTTTTTGATTAATTTTCAGCATTAAATGATGTACTGTATAGAAGGTATTCTGATGTACTCTATTTTTTTAAATATACAAGCAGCACATAATCATTTTTGAATTTAAAAACTATATGCAAAATACTGTTTAAACATTTAATACTTTGCTACTGTAGAATTAAAAGGACTTCTGGGTTGTAATTTACACTTTGATCTTAAAGCTATCTAGATTATGACTAGACAGTTTCATACAGGAGGAAACAAATACTATACATAGATAAATGGTCATTTCTAGTCAAACCTGTACATATTAAAGCAATGTAGATAGTGTGACTAAATAATTGAATTTTAGCCCTGGCCAGTTTCGCTCAGCGATTAGAGCGTCGGCCTGTGGACCAGAGTCCCAGGTTCGGTTCCCACCAAGGGCACGTACCTTGGTTGCGGTTTGTCCCTGGCTCTGGTTGGGGTCGTGTGGGTGGCAGCCATTTGATGTATCTCTCTCGCATCGATGTTTCTCTTACTCCCTCTCTCCCTCCCGCTCGATCTGAAGATAAATGCAAAAAAAAAAAGAGAGAAAGATTCCAGAAATTTAAAACCACTGAGCTTATCCCCAAATCCTAGAAAAATCATATACCTCTTTGTTAAAGAGTCCATTTGTGAAACTAAGAAATGGAAGAAGTGTGATGCAGTTACTATGGAAAACAGAATGGAAGTTCCTAAAAAAAAAAACAAAAAATAAAACTACCTTATGATCCAGCAATTCTACTTATGGATTTTATCCAAAGGAAATGAAAACACTAATTCAAAAAGATATGTGCACGCCCATGTTCATTGCAGTATTATTTACAATAAACAAGATGTGGAAACCACCTAAATGTTTGTCATGGATGAATGAAGGAAACATGGTATTTATAAAGGCAATAGAATATTATTCAGCCACTAAAAATAAAATCTTTCCATTTGCAACAATACAGATGGAACCTGAGGGCATTATGTTAAATGAAATGTCAGAGAAAGACAAATATTGTATGATTTTACTTACTTGTGGAATCTAAAAAACAACAACAACAGAAAAAAGAATTTTAAAATCTATTTTTATTTTGAAAAACTAAAGTAGTTTGTTAGTATGGATGCATATATGAATGGAAAATGATTTTTTTGGCATTTCAGTTTTTAGAAAAGTTAAGTATGTTTGGAACATCTTGTATATGTGAATCTACTTTTTTGGTTGTAAATTTTATGAAATATTTTAAGTGATCATGCATTTTTATTGATTAAGTTGAAATGACAATATGGATATATTGGGTTAATAAAATATTATTAAAATTTGTTCTGTGAATTATCTGAATTCACCTAATGATATATTAAATTGGAATTTAACTGTGTTGTACTTTTCCTGGAAAGTTTTCTTTTTTTGCATGCAAATAGCTTACCTGGCTAAATCTGTATGCCATTGAGAGAGGCAGTGATAATATCCTTTTTAGTTTAAATATTGTTTTTACTTTCAAAGATTTTCCTTTGAAATTGATTGTTCTTTATATTATATTTGTCACTGTTTGCAGCACATGTTGAAAATAGTGTTGATTTTGCTGTTGTGCTATTAAAAGGTGACTAGTGATGTGGAGGTAAAGGCTTTACATATCAAATAAGCTAGATTTTTTTTTTTTCTGAAAGAGGAAAGAAATTCATTAATGTAGGTATGTAATCCATTTTCTGACAAGAATGGTTATAAGGCTGAGGTATTGTCCCACTGTTGACTAATAAGGTACCACTCCTCAGGGGAGCAGCTCTCTGCTGGGAGAGGAGGGACTCATTGCATTGAGCAGAGTATTTGTTCCTGAGATTGGAAACTGGCACTTAGTAGACAGGCTTAAGGGGCAGAGTCTTTCAAAAATGTTGATGTGGGAGAAGATAAGTTTCCCTGCAGTAACTTGTTATATGGGATCAAGCAAAGGAGAAAGGCAGACATGTTATATTAGCTTCTGAAACTAGAATTTTAAATCAGTCTCTGCTGTCCCAAGTTCTATAGTTATTTCTTCATCACTATTCAGTCAAGTTCTTGTGCAAGAGTTATCTTCTTCTGGTATGTTGAGTGAACAGATGAAGAGTTTATGTAGCTGCTTGGGGAGCTATGTAATTTTGAAGCGGTGGCTGTGGTGTGTGGTGAAAAGAGCCCCAGAGACAGATGAAACAAAGTTATAACTCTGCACCTTGCTGACCATTTTTCTTGTGTCTTCCACTAAAACATTATTAATCCTATATTTTGCTTTAACACAGGAAGTTAATTGAAACTTAGAAGTTAATTGAAACTTTGCTTTAGTTGTGATCCTTTAGAAAAAATTTGTAATGCAGGAATTCAAGTAACGTGTTTTTCTTTTTTTTAAATTCTAGGTGAGAATTATGAAGATGATGACCTAGTAAATTCTGATGAGGTTATGAAGAAACCATGTCCAGTACAGATTGTTCTTGCTCATGAAGATGACCATAACTTTGAGCTTGATGAAGAAGCTTTGGAGCAGATATTGCTACAGGAGCACATTCGTGATCTTAACATAGTAGTGGTATCCGTGGCAGGAGCTTTTCGTAAAGGGAAATCATTTCTACTGGACTTCATGCTTAGATATATGTATAACAAGGTGAATAGTGTCTTTTAAATTGAACCCAGTTAAAAACTACAAACTACCAACCAACCAATTTTATTTAAAAACTGATAGACAGCCCTGCCGGTTTGGCTCAGCAGTTAGAATAGGTTCGCAGACCAGAGAGTCCCGGGTTCGGTTCCTACTAAGGGCACGTACCTTGGTTGCAGTTTGTCCTTGGCCCTGGTTGGGATCGTGTGGGTGGCAACCAGTTGATGTGTTTCTCTCTTTCGCCTTCCCTCTCTCCTTCCCACTCCATCTGAAGATAAATGCAAAAATGTCTCTTGGGTGAGAGAAAAAAAAAACCTGGTAGACAAAAAGTAACAGCTGTATTTTTAATTTTACAAAAATACAGTAAAATATAGTAATACAAGTTTGAGCTACTGATTTCTCTTCATCTCTATAATTATTTTGCTTATAATACATATATATATATATTTTTATCCTCACTAGAGGACATTTTTCCATTTTTTGTTCAGATAGAGTGGGAGGGAGAGAGAGAAACATCGACGTGAGAGAGACACATTGAGTGGCTGCCACCCACTCAACCCAACCAGGGCCAGGGACAAACTGCAACCGAGATACGTGCCCTTAGTGGGAACTGAACCCATGGACTGCAGGCCCATGCTCTAACCGCTGAGCCAAACAGGCCAGGGCTATAATACATATTGATGCATAAGATCGAGCATCTATGTTCCAGGCATTGTAGCCTAAGTGTATTCCAAAATCTCTGAAGTACTGTTCATCTCCACTCCCCCACCCCCCGCTTTAAAAAAAATATGTCTTTATTGATTTTTTTAGACAGAGAGGGAGAGAGAGAAAGAAACATTAATGTGAGAGAGATACATCTAACTGCTGCCTTCTGCACGCCCCCTACTGGGGATGGAGCCCGCAACCCAGCATGTGCCCTGACTGGGGATCCAACCGGCACCTCTCATCTCAGTCCATGGGGTGCCGCTCAATCCACTGAGTCATGCCGGGCCATCTCTCCCTTTTTGTTATTTCCTCACACCTTCCCCTTTTTGATCACTTTTGGTAGTGGGTGGAGTAGGCTTATAGAGACTTTTGTAAAAGTACAGTGATGTTCCTCAATTAAGTCACCTTCAGTGACTATTACTTTTTGAGATGAAGTCCAGTTTCTTATAGTGACTTCCATATTATTTTAGCCTCATCTGTTGCCTTTGTTTGTAAAGTAGGGTATAGTTTTTGTAGTTCCTTGAGTGTGTTGTTATTTTTCAAATGTTGTACCCTTGGCTGATATTTTCACTGGAGGCCTTCCCTGATGTCTAAGACTATGTTATGTCCTCCTCTCAACTCTCAAGGCACAGGTCATGTGTTTCATTGATACTACTTTTTTGTTTTGTTTTGGTTTTTGATACTACTTTTACTTATTTTTTCTGGTTAGTTTAAACTTTGTCAAGGGTGGGCCTTATTTTGAATACCATATCTTCTACACCTAGCACAATAATTGACCTGTAGGAAGCACTTATTTTATATTTTGGCCAGTGATCTCCCTTTCTTTCCACATTTTCACTTTTTGATGGTACCAGACAATTGTTATTTCCCTCCACACCCCCTTCCCTGACTTTGACTCTTTCCCTGAAAAAAAGCAAATATATATATATTTTCATTTGAATCAGAATGTTTTTATAACAGTTGAAAGTTGGGCCCGAGCGGTGTGGCTCAGTGGATTGAGCATTGCCCTGTGGACTGAGAGGTCCCAGTCAGGGCACATGCCCAGGTTCCAGGCTCGATCCCCATGAGAGGTGTGCAGGAAGCGGCTGATCAATGTTTCTCTCTCACATTGATGTTTCTGTGTCTCCCACTCTCTAAAAAATCGATGAAAACATATTAAGAAAAAAAAAAAAAAGTTGGGCCAAGGGAATGGGAGTTTGATAGGGACCAAGAAAGAACTAGAAATTTGGGATGGAACATTTAGCGGGAAGGGCTTTACAGGGGACATTTGACATTTAGAAGCCACATGAAGATGCTAGAAATAATACTTTAACAGAATTATGTAATTGTCTAAACATTTGTCAAGGTGCTCACCTTTATGAATTCTGTGGAAATCTGTAACTGGGTATGCATCTGCTTTTCAGAAAATTCTTTTCACAGGGATCTCTTTAGGCATGTTCAAGTATGCCTGAGTATCAAGAGTGTAGTTTATATTAAAGAATACTGTTTAGCCCTGGCTGGTTTGGCTCAGCATCGGCCCATGGACCAATGAATTGTGGGTTCGATTCTGGTCAAGGGCACGTGCCTTAGTTCTAGTTCGTCCCTGGCCCTGGTTGGGTCGTGTGGGAGGCAGCTAGTCCATGTGTCTCTCACATCAATGTTTCTCTCTCCATCCCCCCCCCCTCCTTCTCACTCTATCTGAAGAAAAATGGAAAATTATTGGGTGAGGATTAAAAAATAATAATAAAGTACACAGTTTACATATATTGGAAATTAAGAAATATGGTGTTTTAAAGTTTTTCCATTTAGACTTGACTTTTTTCCAAGTTTCACATCTGAAATAGAGAAATGTATAAATAATGGCATAAGAACACTGTACATTTAAAGATGACAAAGAATTCCTGTATTTTGAGGTTTCAACTCCTTAAGTAGTTTGTGTGTATTGTCTCTATCTGTGTCTGTTTGTTGCAAATGTATTTGATTTCAAGTAGGTCACAGACTGCAGAATGTTAGAAGGGGCAGGAAGCTTAGATCACTTGTCTAGCAATGACAGATAAGTTTCGCCTCAGGTGCCATTTCTGATTCCATCTTTAATCAATTAGCAGGTGCTGTTCAGAGGGGGAATAGCAGCCCATACATGTTATGTATTTTTAGTCTCTAGCTAACAGAGTTCCCCTTCTCCTGGGGGAGACAACTGAAGCCACAGAAAGGTTATGAGGGCCTGAGTGTTGTTACATACCTAGTTAGTAGCTTCTAAGTGGAAATATCGTGATTAATCTTTATTCAAAAGGTTTCCATATAGAATTCCTGATACAAGTAATCTCTCTTAATTGAAAATTGCATTAAACAGTGTCTGATTTTTGGATAACATGCCTCTACTGATTAAGAGATGAATCATACTTTTCCTAGGAGATGAAAGGAAGAGAAACAACAATGGAATAGTTTTGGATTTATTTCATTAACCTATATGCCTGCAAAGGTGGAATGCTAGCTAAAGAAGGTAGGAAGTAATATAACATGTGGTCTTTTGTGACTGGCTTCTTTCACTTAGCGTAATTTTTTTTAATTCAGAAAGGTTGGAAGGGAGGGTGGGGCACATCGATTAGCTGCTTTCCCCCACGGGGATTGAACCTGAAACCTAGGTATGTGCCCTGACTGGGATCAAACCTTTGACCTTCTGGTGCACAGGATGATGCTCCAACCAACCGAGCCACAACAGCCAGGGCACAGCGTAATGTTTTAAAGGTTCATGTATGTTGTAGCATTATCTGTACTTGATTCCTTTTAGGACAATAATATTCTATTGTATAGATATACCAGATTTTATTTATCCATTTATTAGTTAATGGACATTTGGGTTTCCATCTTTAGGTTTATGAATAATGTTATAATTGCATTAATATAGTTTAAAATATATTCACTAATTATACAAAATACATTTATGTACATATATATAAATGGTATGAGGTAAGGTCCGATTTCATTCTTTTATATGTGCCTATCCAGTTGACCTAGCACCATTTGTTGGGAAGACTATTCTTTCCCCATTAAATGGTCTTGACACCCTTGTTGAAAATGAGCTGGTTATAGATAAATGAGTTTATTTCTGGGCTTTCAGTTCTGTTTCAGTGATCTATATGTCTGTTCTTATGCCAGTACCAGACTGTCTTGATTACTGTTGCTTTGTAGGAAGTGAGAGTTCTCTTATTTTATTCCTCCTTTTCAAGATTGTCTATTCTAGGTCTCTTGTAATTTTATATGAATTTTAGATTTGGTTTGCCAGTTTCTACGGGAAGTTAACTGGGATTCTGATGATGATTAATTTGAGTCTGAAATTTCAATTTGAGTATTGCCATCTTAATATTAAGTGTTCCAGAATCTGAATATGGGATGTTTTCCCATTTATTTAGCTCTTCTTTAATTTCTCTCAAAAATGTAGTTTATAGAGTAAGTTTTATAGTATTTAAAAAAAGTTTTGATGCTATTATAAAGGAACTTTTATATTTCAATTTGTTCATTGCAAATTCATAGAAATACAATTGATTTTTTTATATTGATCTAATATCCTGCAACTTTGCTTGACTCATTTATTAGTTCTAGTAGTTTTTAAAAATTTATTTATTGATTTGAGAGAGAGAGATTTATTGTTCCACTTATTTATGCATTCATTGGTTGATTCTTGTATGTGCCCTGAGCTCTGACCAGGGATCAAACTCACAGCCTTGGAGTGTTGGGATGATGCTCTAACCAACTCAGCTACTGGCCAGGGCTTAGTTCCAATAGTTTTCTAGTGGATTCTTTAGAGTCTTCTACAAGATCATGTCATCTGTAAATAGAGATAGTTTTACTTTTTCTTTTCAATCTGAGTACCTTTTATCTCTCTTTCTTGGCTAATTGTCCTGGCTAGAACCTCCAGTACAGTGTTGAGTACAAGTGATAAGAGCGGACATCCTAATCTTTAGGGAGAAAGCATCTAGATTCTCACCACTATATATGATGTTAGCTATAGATTTTCTTGTAGATTTAAAAAATCAAGTTGGGGTGTTCCTCTCTATTCCTAGTCTGCTGGGAGTTTGTTGTTTTGTTAATCCTTACCCGAGGATTTTTCCATTGATTTTTAGATAGTTGTTCGTTTTTTTTTAAATCACCAGTATTTGTCAAATACTTTTTTTGTGTACTTAAATTGATATTATCCTGGGATTTTTCTTTAGCCTGTTGATATATGATGGATTATGTTATTACTTTTTTGAATATTGTATCAGCCTTGCATCCCTGGAATAAATCTGACCTAGTTATGGTGTATAATTCTTTTTATATATTGT